TGATTAAACCTTCAAATGAGTTAGGCTCTGATACCAATTGTTGAGTTAATCGATTGATAAATATGGCCAAGAGGGGGGGTGAATTAGCAATTAAAATTTTGGTGGAAGCTTTTGCAGAAAATTGAAAGAAATTTGCACAGCGATTTAGAGTGGTTCGACTTTCTCAACCAAAGTCTACGTCCACTACCTTAGCTATCCACACTAAGGATTTTCCATAAATTCACTAATTTGTCTTCTTTTGAGGACAAAGAGTAACCTTACAAACCCTCAAGAATTATACCCCAAATTCTTGAGAACACTCTCTCCCAAAGAGAACAATACAAATTTGCAAACTTACAAGGAAATCATCATAAGGTAGATTGTTTGCACAATTATAGAACAAAGAAAAGAACACTCAAGAATGAATACAATTGAGCACAATAAGTGTTCTTGAAAGCAAAATGAATATTGAATGAAAAATAGGCTTGAAATGCTCAAACTTGAGGTTTGATTCTCTCTTGATTCTAGTTGCTTGATGTTTCTTGTTATTGATCAATGGCTTCTAAGCTTGCTTAAATACACCTTGAATCACTTCTGAACGTTGGGGATGATTAGTGGAGTCAATATAGTCGTTTAAGTGTGAAAACAATTAATTAAAAACAATTTGGAGCGTCAGTGCATCGATGCATACCCATGGTGCATCGGCGCATCAGTGTAAAATTCAAATATTTTGACCGTTGGACCCTTAGTGCATCGGTGCACTCTTAGTGCATCGATGCATCAAGTGCATTCGATGTTTCAAAATAGCCAGAGTGTATCGATGCATGGCTGGTGCATCGATGCATCAAATGCATTCGATGTTTTCATAAAATCCTCAGTGCATCGGTGCATGGTATGTGCATCGATGCATGAAATGCATTTGATGTTCAATTTAATTCATGGTGCATCGATGCATGGATTGGTGCATCGGTGCATCACTCTGAAAAATTGATTTCAGGCTTGATATTTTGTTCAAAATACTTTGTGAAAATTGTTTCAAAAATATATTAAGTATAAAACATAATTTTACACATTTAGTAAGGTTTGAAATTGATCTTAAAAGACTTGGAGTAATAATTTGATATTCGATTAATTGAATCAAATATATTTAGAAAATCATTTGTAAATCTTAAAATTTATTTAAACTAATTTGTTATATCGAAATACAAAAATGTTTTCAACAGATACACTTAAACCAGTACCAATATCGATCTTTAGGTATCGATATTTCCTAAATATCTCATCGGATTATATAATATGGTATCGATATTGTTCCTTCAGTATCGATACCCTAAGCTTAACTTATACTTCTTTAGCTTTGAAGTATCGGTACTGGATGAACAGTACCAATACCCTATGCCCAGAACTTACTTATTTTACCCGAAAATTTTCCAAAACTTACTTAACTTCCACTTTACTAACTTATTTCAATTCATTAAACTCAAATATACTTAATCAAACTATCTTATATCACTTTAACACATATAGACGTTCAATATCTCATTAAAACACTTGAAACTAAAAATCTTACCAATTTATGAACATGTTCCAAATTCATTTCTAAAACTTTGAATCTCTTATTTCAACTCATGACAAGTCAAATTCAACTTCAAAATCCATTTACTCTTTCTTTTTCAATAATTCACTCAAAAACTTGTTTTACTTAATCTCTCATAACTTGTCCATCTTTTATTTTCTAATTCTCTTTAAGCTTCCTTAAGTTTTCCTAATGCCCCAAGAACCAAAATCAACCTTAAATTGATCGAATTAATCCATATAAAGCATACTCACCTTATGCCAGAAGAACCCACGGTGGACAGGAAGAAAAAAGCTGAAGAAGGCTCTGGATAAGCTTTTCTCCCATTTCTCATGTGTTATATATCACTTAAAGAGAGAAGATAAAAATCTTTCCTTTCAAAAGACCATAATACCCTTCCAATAATCCAACTTTGATATCAAGTCCTAAAATATTTCCAAAATAAATCTTTAAACTTTTCAAGTTATTCTAATTAAACCACAAAATTTTGAATTCCTACAATTTGGTTATTGGCCCTGTTTTGGGGATGTTACACAAATATTGAATTTAGATAATCTTATCATAGTTTTTGATCCGTTGAGTAAGCCTATATTGATTAGTGGACATTCAAAGCCCAGACCTACTTGTAGGGCTCTAGAAGATATACATTTTACAAGCTTCAAGAATAAAGAATGTAATCAAAGTCCAGTTTGGGAGGAAGGCTCTGACGGTGAAACTATGTTGGGCCAGACTAAGGTGTAGCCTAAAACGAAAGAAACTTGGGAGAAAATGGTTGACAACTTGAACAAATGGCCAACTGAAGATAATTCTCATTTTTCTTTAAATGACGTGGTTCTTCATAGTAAATTTCTTCCACCAATAACACGAGGAAAAAGCAAAAAGTACGGGTCACTTGAGGAAATACAAGACAAAGCGTTGACAAACCTATTGAAAAATAGAAAGACTCGGGTAAAAAAGAAGAAGAAAAAGGTTAATCGAGAGGTAGAAACTTCAGAGTTGGAAGGGAGGTCCCTTTCAGACTCAGACCTTAAAGCAAGGCAACTGATTTATATGAGGAACGCCAAGAAAACTGTGAAACTCGATCAAGAGTTGGGGATAGTTTTCAGAGGTTCTAAAGAAGCTCTATTGCATGAGTTAGCATCGTTAGAAGCATCCGATGATGAATCGTTGGCTTTCTAGAATAGTAGAGAGGTGAAGAGGCTCGGAATGATAATTTTATCTTGGAATATCCGATGTATGGGTACGACGTTAAATTTTCAACTTTACACAAGATTATTATAGTCAATAAAGTAGAAGCAATCTTTATTTAAATAAACAAAAATTGTAGAGTTTGAAGAATATGAAATTAGGAATTTGTGGTTTGATGATAATTTTGAGTTTAGATTCTCTTAAGCGAATGGCAGAGCAGGGGATTCCTCATTAAAGGAAAATGAGTAGTGAGCAAGTGCCACCTTGGAATGAGATAGAGGTGTTAAAATGAACAAATGGCAGCAAGTGGTTTTTGGCTGGAGATTTCATTTTAGTCCACAGTCGAATCAAAAGAAAGTGGAAATTTACATGGTATGATACGGGTAATAGGAGGAGTCGACCAAACATGTTGTTTGTGGAGGAAGAGTGGATCCAAGAAAATGCTGATGCTACTTTATGGGGGCTACCAAGATCGATTTGGACCTAATTCTGATAGAAGGTGGACTGGGGCCATAGATTATTAAGGTTTATAAATATTCGGTTAATCCAAGTGAGATGTTTAGAGATAATTAAGGAGGCGCTCGTGGATGTTGGTTCGATTGGACACGTTTTTTGCTGTAAAGCTGTGAAGAGTTAAAGGAGCACTGTAAAAGTGGAACAAAGAGACCTTTAGGATTGTATATAATGAAGTGCAAGTGGAGTCAAGGTTAAATGAGCTTGAAGTGTAAGGAGTTAATGATAGTTTGCATGACTTGGAGCGTGAGGATCTAGCAAAAAGAACGAAAAAGCTTTGGGATTTGTTGAAAAATAGAAGATGATGTAGGGCGCCAAACATCCAGAATGAACTGGTTGTAAAATAGGGATGGGAACTCGGCTTTCTTTCGTAGAGCAATCAAACTTCAAAGCAAAAAAAATGAGGAATGTTGTTGTGTTAATATTGTATGATGTTTTATAATAATGTTCAAGTGGGCTGGTCAGTAGCAAGGTTGGAGAGTTCTACAGAGTTGATCCATCACTCAGGATGTTGTTTGTTTTTTGTTCTGTAACATAGCGATGTTTGCTTTTATTTAGACTAGTTCGGGTGATTTCTTGTTTTGTGATTTTTGGATGTTGCTCGATTATTTCATTGTCATCAGATAGTTTCTCCTCACACATGGTTGCTTTTAGTACGTTATTTTTTGTGCTTTCTTAGTCTTGATCTATGTTCGGATATACTGTGAAATTAGCTATTGGGATTGTTGTGGAGGGGTCAGTGCCCGCTTTGATGTTTTCGTTTTGTAAGCGTCAGTGAACTTGTACTTTGTACCTTGTCAATAGTACTCTTTTCCTCCAACTAAGTTTATGGAAGTTTTTAACGAGACTCTTAATGTAGGTTTGTTTAATTAATAAAATTCATTTTGCCGAGAAAAAAAAACTTGGTCTCAAAAACTTTTCATATCCAATTATATATATACCATACATTAATATGTTTAAATTGAACATGAAAAGTTGAATTCTTATAAAGATGAATAACACTTTAATTATTATAAAACAAGAAATATCTCTCCCGATTAAAGTTAAGATTATTTTTTTTAATATACTTGTCATGCATTAGCTATAATTTCTTGGTATTTTTAGAACATGTCAACCTTCTCTCAAGAATTAGCTTTGCATGGTCTATGTCCATCATTATAAAAGACTTACTCAACTGTTGCTTTTACTTTTCAGTTTTAAAAGTATTACGACCAATAATAAGCAAATCATCTGTAGAAAAAGAATAATAAAATCATCAATAGGGAGTATGATCAAAAATATTTTTTTTGTAACCATCTTTCCTCGTAAAAGATTCAAACTTCTTATGTCATTTCTCGTTAAAACTTGCTTCAAACTATACAAACTCTTCTTCAACTTGCACCATAACACCCCAAATTCGGCTTGATCAAAAATTGGGTTGGAGGTGTCAAATATGAAGATGAAACTTAACCTATCTAGAAGCCAAACAATTCAGATTTTTGCGAAGAAGCAAGGGAGTACATAAACTTCGTTCATTGTATCTAAACTCTTATGACTATTGGAATATAAGTATCGAAACCTTTTCACCAAGTAACGAAACTTGGTACTAGGTATTGAAACCTCCATAAAATAAAGATGTGGTTCGACGACATTTTATGATTCTCTTTTGAACTTACGGACACCAATGTATCATATTTATTTAACCGGATACAAATTTATAAGATGAAAATTTCAAAACTGTGATGAAAACTTGCCTTTTCATAAAAAATAGTAAAGAAGGGGTCGTAAATACTAAAACTGACCAACTTAATCACCCCAAAGAGTGAATTCTTCGTAATCATCGGCATCATCGTGGGGATAGTACCCATTTTGCATAGACGGTGGAGTTATCATCAACCCTTCCGCCATACTTTCAAGTATCCCCGACATGTTAAACACCTCTTCTTCATCTATAAACAATGTCTTTGAACTTGCCTCAGCAGCCTCCATGGCGGCGATCTGAATATCCCTCACCGAAGATGACCTAGCACGTGGCAATGTATAAGCAGACTCGGGAAAGTTTAAAGAAGCCGAGTCTCCTTTGAGTGCCAAAGCGGCTGCATCGTAGGCCTTAGCCGCCATTTCTGGGCTCGAGAATGTCCCCAGCCATATTCGAGATTTCTTGTTTGGCTCTCTAACCTCACACACCCACTTTCTTTTTCTTCTTCTTACACCTTTGAATATCGGATGTCGAGTCTCATTATATATCTTCCTTCCAGCTTTTCGTTTATGGGATTGTGCTTCAACTTGTCCTAAAGAAGAAGATGAAATTTCCAGGGTTTCTGAACTTAAAACTTGTTGCTTATCTTCCCTTTGTTCCATTGTTTTTGACTCTTCTAAGAAGCTAGTGATTTGAGTTTTATAAGAGAAGAATAAGAAGTGGAAAAGGAATCAAAATTTGCGTGGGAGAAATTAGTAAGAATGGTTCAATGGGAGGATGAAAATGGAATTTGTGTTTCTACATGTAGGTTTCTTGTTATTTGTGCTTTATCACGTCTATTTGCAGAAACATAAATATGATCCACGTGGGGGAAATACTTGCTCTTTTTTCTTTTTGGTCTCCTTAAAAGTTAAAAAAAAAATTCAATTGATGTGACTGAATACATTTGACTTTTGGTTCTTTTTCTTACTCTGACCTAGTAGAAATGTTTACGTTCAACAATCTTAATATACGATTAAAAAGATATTATCAATTTAGTTATTATTTAAACAATAAAATCGGTAAAAAATATCAGAAATATTATTATTTCTATCGGTTTTATTATTATTAGGCGTTTTGCCGGATTTGATAAAGTGCTATCGGTTTGTTATTTTTTCTATCGGTTTGTACCGGTAAAAATTGGGTAAAAAATTGGGTAGTTTTTAGGTAAGATCGCTATTGATGTTTTAGGTAAAAAATAATAATTTTTAGGTAGTTTTTTTACCGGTTTTGTTATTTAAATAATAACAGAACCGATATCGTCTTATTTTAGCTTTATATTAAGGTGTCGCACTGTAGAACTTCCCCTTACCTAGGGGAAATTGGGTTGGGGGAAAAACCGAAAATCATTAGGATTTGAACCTATGGTAATAGAGAATAATCAGAATTTTCACCCATGGAACAGAGATGGGGAAAGTTTTATTCTCAAAGCTCAAAAGGAGATGGGGATAGCGATTACTATATCCGAACCGTGAGAATAACTGAATCGTACCCGTGTGAATAGCCATAGGGATCCTTGAAAAATAACAGTAAGGGTCCCGATATTCTACAAAATTAACCGTGAGGATCCCCGAAAAATATCTATGAGATTACGTATTACCACTATTACATATCAAATAAATTAAAATTGAAGTTTAGATCTTTTCTCATTTAATATAAATTGATTTGTTGAGATCAAAAATAGTTAAGATTGTACATATGTATTAGGTGTTAAATGAATATTGACGTTTGAAACTTTCATATCATAGATAGAGACCAATTTGAGACAATATGATATATCTTACAAGTTTTAGGTGTTGCACTAATTTCAAAAATATTGTTTATGTTTTTTGGGATAGAGATTAATTGAAACCCGCAGAGATTCGTAAGGAATAAGTATGGAAAGAAAAAAATCTCCGAAACATATATAGGAATTCCCTAAATTTGTACCCCAAAATTTGAGGACATAATAAGTAATGTAAAATCGTCCCCGTCCCGATTCGCCCCGTTGACACCCCTACTCTGAACATGTCAACATACCTGGGTGGATACGTTCCAAACAGTAATATTTTTAATTTTATAAAGCTTGCAAGTACCTTGATTTATCCATTTATTTTTAATATGTTTTTTAAAATCTTATTTTAATAGATATATTATATTTTAAAAAAATCTAACAATTATATAATATTATATATTTATTCTAATCTAGAGGTAATATTGATGTAGACGTTAAGATTGAAAAATCAATTTAATATATTGCTCTGTGAATTTTGAAATAAACAACAAATTATTGTAAAATAAGATCTAATTATCAAGATCGTCAATCTTTTATGATCAGAAGGTGCACTATAATAAATGCAACACAAAATGATAAAAATATCATAACAATAGATAAAATTATGCCATAAAAATATACGAAAAAATATGTCACAAAAGTATATAAAACTAAACGATTCAAAAAATATACGAAAGGAAAGAAATTAGAACGGTGACAATATTATTTAAATATAAATAAAAGGTAAACAAAAAAAGAATGAAAAAACGATGACATATACAAGACCGCCGCTTATAGTCGTAATTTGAAATAAAAACGAAAGAATCAATTTAGAGAAAAAAAACTAAAACTTATTAATTGTTAGACATAATTGGCCATACGATCATTTATATAAGTTTTTAAATCTTTTAAACATTTTTATTTACCACATTAAAGAATAATTTATCTTATTAAATTTACTTTATATTTAATTGACGGTGTATAATCTTTATAGCAATTATCAAACATACATGTTTATCAAATGCTTATCATAATAAACTCTTTTCAAGATAAGTCGGTTAGGGACAACCTTTTGACTCAAGAAAGAAGAAGGAAAAACGTGAAGAGAGAGAGAGAGAGAGACTAACCATAATTGTAAGTTGGATTTTGTAGGTTTCACGTCCCTGATTTGCTGATTCTCATGCAGTTGCAAATCTGCATGGAAAGCAAAGTTTGGTTTGGTAATCTGTTTGACGAACCTCAAGTTGGTGAGTTTCGCTTATAAAACGCCGACGATTAATACATGCAAATGTTGCTGTCAAACCATGAGAATTGAAGTATCCCGTGGCGGATGTAGGTTTTTTGTCTAGTGGTCACCTTAAAATCCGAATTACATTAGGAATTTATTTTATTAAATGCTATAAAAATGCCGAACAAGAATAATTCAAAAATCGAATAACCTTTCATATAATCCTACAAATAGATGCCAACACTCCATGTAATCTTTCGAATAAAAGGGTTTAAGGTTTTATCCTTAAACTTTCAGTAAGTTCGTTCCAACTCTTAATGTCATGTCTATTTTTTTTGTTAATCCTACAAAACTTTAATACATCATACCAAACTTTCTTAGAACTTTTGACATTCAAATAAAAGGTGGTTGTGAAATTGTATTTCAGATTCGCAAAGGTTGTAAAGACCATTGAGGACATATGAATGCACCTACACCATCCACAGAAATTAACTTTATCATTTTTATAGAAGAACTAGTTTTCTAAATCTATTCTTTTGCATGTGCCCCTAAATGTGGATGGTTGTAATCGCGTGTCACTTTCCATTTTGTCAGATTTTTTAAAATATTATAAATAAAGTACTAAAAAAATATTGAATTTGAACTTGTAAAAAGGGGTGTCGCCTCCTTAAACTCTCTCAGCTGCCTTTTTGCCTTGCGAAGGAGTCTGTAGTCAACTTATTTTTGCCTTGTGAAGGAGTCTGTAGTCAACTTATTCTACCCTTATTCTGTCTCTTGGAGAGTTTGGCAACTGTGTTTGTGTTGGGTGCATCCCTTCTTTATTGAAGTTAGGGATATTAAAATTAGGGAGATGTATCATATTTTTTAGATACATTCATGTATGGTGAATTTGTCTAAAAACAATGTATGATAACTAGTAGGTTATCTTATTGTTCTAGTACAATTTAGTGACTTTGAGAAGACTTTAAAAGAGTTATCCAACTTTAACACTAGAGAGTTGAAATTGAAAGAGAGAACACACATCAAGTATAAAAAAGAATATTCCTTTGAGTGAGCGATAGAAAGTTAACACACTTATGACATCTATCCGACAGTTTGTCGAAATACTTTATAAATTATCTATATTGAATGAGATTCTTGTAACCTTATTTGATAGTGGAAAGTATATTTGCATTGAATTAACTTTATATATATTTTTTTAAATTTAAATTTTTCGCGGCGCCAAAATCTTATGTGTTTTTTTCATATTTATTTATTTCGTTTTAATGCCTATTTTTATTGTCAAAAAAAAACTTTTCGAAAATTATTTAGATTTGATAATCGAAAATCTAAATAATTTTTAAAGGTAACTGGAGCCTTGTTAATCTAGATATTGGAAGAGAAAAAGAGTATCCGAAATTTTAATTGAAATACCAACAAATCAATCATTATGTGATACAAATTGTATATCATAGAACTACCCAAATATTGGGTAAAATTAGGTCACTAATCCAAGCGAATTAATTATTTGGCCCAATACGCCAACCCCAACATTAATTTGCTCTACAACGTTTGCTACAGTGTAGGCAAATTTGGCATGCACACATTGTGAGTTTGCCCAGATATTATTTTTTAATAGCCCCAAGTCTACCGCCCAGTCGAGCTTAATTGTTTAATATACTTCTTGAAACTCGTCATGCCCACATGATTATTAATTTTAAAATATATGATTTTTTTTTAAATTGAAATAATATATAATAATTATAAATTTATTTTTTAAACTATGGAACTCGTCACGTAGGCATGACGAGTTCTGTTTGAATTTAAAAATTATAGTCGTTAACTAAACGTTAGGCAACGAGAATTTTTTTTTTAAAATTCCACTAGAGCTCGTCGTGTTCATATCATTTAAAAAATTCATGTTCCTATCATTTATAATTTATTCATGTTCATATCATTTACTCAAAAGAACGTAATTTGTTTTGTATAAACAAATATTTTGATGTTCATATCATTTAAAAAAATTCTTAAGTAATAATTTTATTTATTTTGTAAATATTTTATTACAAACTAATAATTAAAATTTATTTTACTAAATAAAATCACTAATAACAATAAAATTTACTTATATTTATTTAATTATTGACGATGTTGAAAAGTGGTTGAACAATAATGACGCAGGACTCGTCAATTTCTTTATAGTTGTATGTCTTCATCATGTTGTTCTCGTTTGCTTCTCGTTGAACTGGTATAGTGTACATCAGTCCAATGTTATAGCCTTACTATATAGCCTTTTAGTTTAGTGTATCTGAACTGATTTATTGTTCTTCTGTGGTTTTATTCTGGTTTGACTTGTGTATTTTTTTTTTTGTTATTATAAGTAGTGTGCATAAACACCAAACAAACTTTACGTTTCACCTATGGTATGTTATAGCCTTTTAGTTTGGTGGATTTGAAAGATGTTGCGTGTTACTACTTCTTTTTTATGTTTTAGTTTTGATAATATCTTTTTAATTTATGATTTTGATTTGTTTGGCTTTATTAATTGAATTTTTAGGTTTTAATTCCTAATGATAATAGTGGGTTTTAGCGGCATTTTTTTAAATCATATAGCGGCCTTTTTAAGTGCGGCTAAAAACCCTTGTGGCGAAACAAAAAACGCC